TTGTTTTGAATTCTTTTTGCAAGAAACAAATTTTCACATGAGATGAGAATGACTACTCTTCACAATATACTTACTCTACACACTACACATAGAGATGATGAAGATTGTGAAAATTTTGAACCTCATAGGAACTTTATGTGGTATTAAGTCACTCATGTAGATCCATGCAATGTATAAGTGTAAAATATAGTAGTAATTCATTATATATAAATGATTATGGTGTGTTTAATATTCTTTCATTAATGACTATATATTTTCTACACTTACAGTGTTTGTCAGCTCGCTATATAATCAACTTAAATCCATCATGCAATGCATTTCCTTCCAATTGTTGGTGATAAACTAATAGATAATTGACTAAATAAACATCATGCAAAGTTTCAATAAAAATTTCTAAGTTTTTCTTACAATTTCCGTGGTTTTTATTCAATTTTTATCGATACCGATAATATCTCAATATTTCCATCGACATTTCCGATATCATCGATATTTTAGACCTTGTCATCTCATGGGGTTTTCTTGAAAAATAACGAGACTTTGAATTTAAAAAAAAAAAAGAAAAAAAGAAGAAAAGAATTCCTTAGTTCTTCAAGAATTAGAATACTACTTCTTACTTAAGAATTGAATTCTTCCAAAATTAGTAATTCAATTTCTAATTTTATGTGGGCCTTACTTACTTTTCAATTTTTTGATGTGAAGTAAACACATGAATCATCTCCATAAATGGAATTCAATTTCTGATGAGAATTCAAATTCCTTATTAATAAACACACTATGAATTTTAATAAAAAAGAATTATGGTAAAAAGTGTGTCTGTTCTGTTGGTAGTAGGTCTCCTTTTTGGTGTTCAAGGAATATTATGAAATTATGAAAAGTAAATAGCCCAGTTTGACTTCTCTGATACAAATATTTAATTATTGGGCAGAATTGTGTGGAACATAGTAGAAAGTAGTTAACAATGCAATGCACTGTGCACCGTCTGTCATAATTTAAATTTTTTATTCAAATAACAACAACTCACCATGTTTTTTTTATATTCAATATGCATATTCCTTTTGTTTTTGGTTGGAACTTGGAAGTAAGTATATATAGTCATATTCCTACTATGTCTTTCTATCTAAGCCTATATATATATATATAAATAATAACATGCTCTTGCCAAAATTACAAATTTCAAATAAAGAAGAAAAAACATTATAAAACGAAACAAAAAAAGGGAAAAAAAACAATCCATATTTTTCTGGTCGGAGAACTCCATCAAAATACCACAAGCAACTTGATGTCACGAGTAACAAGAAAATATGAAGCATATGTCTCGATAAAAATGAAAGTATTGAAAGTTAGGTAAGTTACGGGTCCACATATTTCGGCTTACTATTTACAAAGATAAGAATAGTATGAGAATATAATTACGTTGTATAATCTATTCACATATTAGAATATAACTAGATATTTATTAATATTATACCCTAAAAGTGGAGAGTTTTAATTATATCGTTCACTTATATTATAACACATGAACGGGTTATATTATGTGACTGTATTTCACTGTCATAGGTTGGATATTATTGAGTAAAATATATCTCTTAAATAGCAAATATTGTATATTTTATAATTAAAATGACTTAAAATAACAGTGGGATAATTGGAGTTTGATACTAGTTTTTTATTTATAAAATATAGAGAATAATGGAAAAAGTAGAAATACAGTGTAAAGCCAACACACAGGGCTGTCAGTAGCCATTCCAACCTTTTTAGCCCATTCGCGGGAGAGAAACAGAGGACAACAACACAACACACAAAACACACTCTCCCTCCCCATTCCTTTCCTCCCTCCCTCCCTCAAAACAGAAGCGCAAAGAAACCGAGTGAGAGAGAGCAGCAGACCAATTGGCAATGGTGGCAAATATAAAATGAAAACAATAGGATTGAAAATTTAAAAATAGTAGGTCCCAGCTCAACAGTTTAATTCGGCCGCCTGCTTTGTCGTCTCTCTCGTCTCCGTCTTCACCACCGTCGTTCCTTTGCGTTTGACTCTCAATCTCTCTCTTTCTCTCTCTGCCTTTCTCTTTCTCTATTTTTTTTGGTGTTTGTACGTTTTCTCTGTCTCTCAGAGTGATATCTTTCATCTCTCTCAGTGTTTGGTCTGAGTTGTCTCTGCTCTCTTATTTCAGAAAGAGAAGTGTCTCTTCCTTGTTCAGTTAACCCAAAACGAGGAATCAATCCGATAAAACTCAAAAGAGGAGGTACAAAGAACAAACCCAAGCCCATCAGCACAGAGGGAGAGCCACACAGAAAAAGTCCACTGGTCCTTTGCTTTCTCTCTCAGGTCTCAACCAAACCCATCACATCCTTTGCCAAACTCAACCCTTTTTTCCATTTTTCTATTATGTCCATTAAAGGGGGTGTTTTGCTCAGGATCATTGTTGGGTTTTAAGCGTCTCTCTTTCTGGGTTGTGAATTTTTTGCTGTGTTGAGAGAGCGTCAGAAAAAGAGATATTCATGGCTGGCAGTAATGAAGTCAACGTCAATGAATCCAAGGTACACTCTGTTCCTTGCCTTGATCAATCTTAGTCCCTCAAAGCCCTCCCTCTCTCTTCTTGTTTTTCTCTTCAATTTTACTTTTATCGTGTTGCCATTTTGGGCCTGCCTATTTTTGGTTCTAGCAAGTTGGAGATTGTTGAACTTGGAGAGTCTCATTTGGGGCCAAACTCAAGTTTGATCCCCTTTCCCTTTTTATTTGGTTTGAAGGTTTGAATTGTTCTCAAGGGCATTTCTATTAATCATTTTTTTTTTTCATAAAAGAAAAATTATCTTTTGTGCTTAAGATGTGGGTTGGTTGGATTTTCTTACTTCTTTCTATTTCTTCTGTCTTGGGTCCAATTTCTTGTTCTGGAAAGTTACGAGTTTGATAAGTTCTAGTTTCATTTGGTGCAAAAGTTTGCAACTTTTCACTAAGATTTGAAGGTATTTGAGGTGAATTAGGCATATCCTCGTTTGTTTTCCCCTTTTGAACCGATTTTGCCTTCCTCGTTCAATAATTTCCTGCTGGCTTTGGGGCTTTCGTTGTTTGCTTACACTTGTAATTTCTTTTCTGTATCCAGGTGTTTTTCTCTATGCATATAACCAGTCTGGTTGTTTATACTTTGAAGGCTTGAAATATTATAGATAGATTCAAGTTCTAACCCTTGTCATTTCTTTTCCTTTTTCAGAGGGTCGTTCCGCTTAATACATGGGTACTCATCTCCAATTTCAAGCTAGCTTACAATCTCCTGCGCCGGGCTGATGGAACATTCAACCGTGAGTTGGCAGAGTTTCTTGACCGCAAAGTCCCTGCCAATACAATTCCAGTTGATGGGGTTTTCTCATTTGATCACGTTGATAGAGGTACCGGGCTCCTTAACCGGGTTTACCTACAGGCCCCTGAAAATGAGGCTCAATGGGGGATTGTGGATCTTGAGAAACCCTTGAGCACCACCAAGATTGTCCCAGTCATAATTTTCTTCCATGGTGGTAGCTTCACTCATTCCTCAGCCAACAGTGCCATCTATGATACATTCTGTCGCCGTCTTGTTAACACATGCAAGGCTGTGGTAGTGTCAGTAAATTATCGTCGATCACCCGAATATCGATATCCTTGTGCATATGATGATGGCTGGGCAACTCTCAAGTGGGTTAAATCAAGAACATGGCTTCAGAGTGGGAAGGACTCAAAGGTTCATGTTTACCTGGCTGGAGACAGTTCAGGTGGCAACATTGCTCACCATGTTGCAGTAAAAGCAGCTGAAGCAGAAGTTGAGGTATTGGGAAACATCCTTCTTCACCCCATGTTTGGTGGGCAAAAGAGAACAGAATCAGAAAAGAGATTGGATGGGAAGTATTTCGTTACAATTCAAGACCGCGATTGGTACTGGCGAGCTTTTCTTCCTGAAGGAGAAGACAGAGACCACCCAGCATGTAATATATTTGGCCCCAGAGATAAGAGCCTTGAAGGGCTCAAATTCCCCAAAAGTCTTGTTGTTGTGGCTGGTTTTGATCTTGTCCAAGATTGGCAATTGGCGTATGTGGAAGGGCTGAAGAATTCAGGTCAGGATGTGAAGCTCCTTTATCTGAAGCAGGCCACAATCGGTTTCTACTTCCTGCCAAACAATGAGCATTTCTATTGTCTCATGGAGGAGATAAGCAACTTCGTCAATCCTGACTGTTAATAAACTCTACTTAACTTTACCTACAGCCAGCCATACATAGCAAAAGCTTGACATTTTACTTGGGTTCCTCCTCCCTCCTTTTGCACTGTCCTAGTGTGTAGTAGTTGTAAGATTGTCTAGTATTACTTGTTACTTACTTACTGTGTTTACCATTTGTTGTGGTAATTTTAGAGTTCTGCAACTGTCGTCCCCCAGAACTGTTCGATATCATTCTTGCTCTGGGGATACTAGTCTTGTTCTAGGTCTCTTCAAGTTGCCTGAGAAGGCTGGCGGCCATTTTCGGCAGCTTGGAAGGAAGGATCAGAACTCAAATTGTGGGATTTGGGATAACCACCCAACAGATGTAAAAGCTTTTACCCTGGCTCACTTCTGGCCATGATTGATGAAGGGAAGCGTTGGGGTAAAATGCTTGGTGGTTGATCAATATGTTGTTTAGTAAATGGATTTTATTGTAAGCACTAATTTTTCAGAACTTGAACTGTGGAAGGAACATATGCTCCTTGTTATGAACATAAATCAAATGTTATACTACTTTGTGTTACTTACTGTTGTACTACTAGCCTCCCTTAAATCAAATATAAAAGATTTCGTTGGCGTTTCAATCTTCTTCATCAGTTCCCTATCTTTTGTTTCATTTCATTGCTTCTTTTAACTTCAATCACGACTTTTACCAGTGAAGAGCTTTGACCCTGTTTTGCCTTTTGCGTCTTTATCCTTGACATCAGTGCATGCCTTTCTGCTAGGCTTTTGCTTGCTTTGTTTTCCTTTGAAATTTTGATCCCCTTTTTCCATATTTTTGGTGTCCCATTTAAGGATTTAAACTTCAAAATCACCTCAGAAAGATGATACTGAAAGTTGAAACGAAAGATAGAAAGATTATCGCTTGTACTAAAAAAATAGAAAGAAAGATTATGTTGTTGTAAATAATTGGTACAAGACCTCTCATGGGATGGCATCGGGGGCGTACCATCCATCCCAGTCTTCCAAAAAAACCAAAACCCCAATCTATTATTAATATTATTCACCAGAAAAGACATGAAAATTGAGCAAGAAAAATGATTGGACAGATGGACTTGGGCATCTTTCTACATCTGTTTGTTTGGTTAATCATCGTTATTCTATCTAGATTCTAGATAGTAGAAACTAGAAAGAAGACTAAAATTGGAATGGGTTTATCTTATTCTGGGGATGGATTTGGGATAATAGCAAATGCAAAGAACGGGGTTTGTTTTTTGATAGTGGGGGGGAGGCTCACCTGGTTGGTAGTGGTTGGGAATTTTGGATGTATTCCAAAGGGACCGCATTTGAAAACTCAACGGAGCAAAAAAACAAAAAAAAAACAACACACAAAATTTAGTAACATTTTTGGGATTTGCTAATGGGCACTAAGTGGTAAATAATAAAAAAACACAGCTATGGTTGGACAAGGACATGGAACCTTGTCTTTATTTGACTTTCTTTCTTCTATTCAATGCATTGCTTGCTTGCTTGCTTAGAATGTATTATGCTTAGGTTGCTTTCTTTTCATTCACGTTGGTGTTTTTATTCTAAACCCAACCCAACCCAACCCAACTTTTAAATTTTGAGTTTAATATTGTTAATTATTAAAACGAGAGCTTATGTTGCTCGGATTGTCATGGTTTTTGCCATGTCGTGTCGTATTATGGTTTGTCTCTTGCAAATTAGCTGTTTATGTTTTGAAGTTATTCCCCATAATACGACACAACAAGTCCTTGTCAACAAAATGGCCTTTTTCTTTAATGTCGATGCGCGAGTGCGGACAAAAACCCTTAATTCGTTTGCTCACCTCACTCACTATCCTTTTACTTTTCTGCATTAAAATATAATTTTTGTGGGTCATTGGATGCGGTGCGCGTTCACATCTAACTCATGTCTTTTTTGGAGAGACACTTATAGGTATAGCGGAATAACACTGTTTTGCTATTTCCGATCAATCACTGTATGTTAAACGTGATAATTCTTTGACGTGACAGTCGCAAAGTTTTTTTCTTGCCTTCCTCCTCCTCCTTCTCTTTGTTGAAATTGAAAGGAAAACGTTTTCCTAATCAATTGGCTAGGTCTTGGTCGTTACTCATATCACCCATCAAGGAACAAACACCATTCAAGGCAACCGATCCATTTGGAATTTTCTTTTTGTAAAGAAAAATAAAATAAAATAAAGGTCATTTCTAAGTTTATACGCATGTTTTATGTTTATCGTTAAGTTCTAACTTTATTTGATGTCGGGAGTCTTTCCAAATTTATCTGATGGAGTATGTTTTTATTTATACATAAAATATATTCCACTACAATCATGACATGGGATCATCCTAATTTAATTTTACTCAGGATAAATAAAGAATATAAGCAATAAACTAGAAATGAAGTCCAGTTTGATGGTAATCTAAATTATAATTTTTTAGAGTGAAACCTATTGGAAATTTTAAAACATGAGAAAGATGCGATAATCCTTTATTTTATTAATGGACAGATGACGAATTAACAATGATAAGCAATACCATTATGAATACTTATCCCTTTTTTTTTAATCTTTTAAATATATATGTACATGTATTGCAATTGGGTCCAGCCAAAGCATGGTGTTTCATGCTTGTATGAAGTCATTTTATCAACACCTAAAGGTTGGATTTGCTTTCCCAATGAAAGAAAACAAAAGAAAAGGGCATTGCAATTGCACCCCAGTGTTGTGAACTTGTGACGCATTCTGGGTTTTTTTTTTTGGGAAAAAAAAAACAAATAAATACGTTATTTCTTATTTTCTGTTTGGTTAAATAAATGGGACAGTTTCATTGGAGATATAAGAAAGAAGTAGATAGAAAAGTTGTAGAGGATTATTCTCATCAGTCTTTCTAGGGTAATGCTATCAGCACTCATTTAGATCCTTGCACTTTAAAATGAATAAATCTTATAATTTTTTTGGCACTCACAGAATTAAGTGCAAATAGCACTGACCTTCTTCTAAAGACAAGATAGGGGGTGCCTGATGAAACATTTAAACAACAGAAGAAATCTTTGGGAAGAATAAGAAGTGTTTACTTTTTTCAAAATTCATAAACAGATCCAGCAACCAAAACAGGTCAGTCTAGAAATGCCTTCAACATGCATTTAAGGTGCAGTTGGATGGTCATCCTCCTAGAAAACAAAAGGAAAATATTAAATTGCTAGCAAAAATATTTAACATGCAACATCTGGAAGTCAGCTTCCAAGTATTATTTGCTCTTGTTTCAGATGTAATTTGATACATCATCTACAGCCTTCAAATAAGGCAAGAACTACCTCTTCTTTGTCAATGTAATTTCTATAATAATTAGCAGATTCAATCACAAATGCTGGGACTTTCTGCAGGAAGACAGACGGCGTCGCCTCTTTGAATCTATGATGTCTTGGTGGAACTTATTTGGATTTCCATAGGCATTCAGCGGTTTGGTACACTTGGTCAATGAAATAATGTACAGATTCTGCAACCCAACGTAGTCAATCAATTGTGTGTGTATATGAAACCAATCTTATATAAACTGATGACAAAAACTGAAATAACATAATTCAAGAGCAATCACATGATTCGGCTTGACCCATAAAATACACAGAAAGAGGTTAAGAGTACCCAAATAAATAGTTCTCATTCAGACTAATGACAGTAACGTAGTTGCATGGGGGCCAATCATATAATTTCAATATCCAAGGAATTCGGGATGCGACAGCAATGAAATTCATACGCTTGTTAAAATTACCCAGTGTTAGTTGGAGAAAACAGTCCTTTGTTCCTTTTTTGGCATCTCAACAAAGGAACTCCATTCAGGTTCATCTGCGGTTATACTATTCACACTACATCTAGAATGATCTCTTCGCAAGGCTACACACATGCACTCACACTCACTCACATTTAAGTATAGATTGTTCATCAATCAACAGAACATGGGTTACCAAGGTCAGCCCACAATATTTTTCATAATGTCAGTGGTGTGACATTTTAGAACTGGTAAGTAATCTCAAAGGTGAAGCATAATTATCAATGAAATTCAACCACAACTAACTTATTGTACAAATTGCTGACTTAGAAGAAGCCTCCTAGTAATCAAGATGGGCCAGCACAGACTATTGCAATCAGCTCACACTTAAGACTTCCCAAGTGTCTACCCAAAGCATGTGATGTGTAAATTCTTCCATTCAAGGATCCTAAGATGCCATCAATATAACTTGTGGATCAATTCGATGGGCATGTGATGAAAGATGGCTGTTGACAAAGAGTACCTTGTTGAGCTGATTTATCTTTTTCAGTGAATCCAGGGTGGCACTCAGCCAGTTGATCAAAATAGAAAGGCTCCCAGTCTCCTAACATTTTGGAAAAGGGAAGGAAAGAAAGAAAGAGGCCAGACAACAATATATAACCATAGGATTCTAATCAGTTATATTAATAGGCAACGGCGGGCAAACATCCTGGACTGATATTCATGTACTTACGACAAAAAATTCAGGCAAGGGAGTCAATACCAACAAGCCATTTTCTGAGGTAAGATGTGTACCTGTGAATAATGTGGAACCTCTGTTGCCCCTTATGGATGTAATGAACCATTCACAATGACTGGCTGAATGCTTTATGCAATTGCTGTCATCCAATATGCTCTACCAAAGTGGAATGAAGAATCATGACTGCAATTCATCCAAAGGAACTTCATATCCATGCTTCCACATTAATCCTATTATTTTCGCAACCTTATATCTTTGACCACACCTTGAGTAGGCTTTGTACAATATCCAAAATGTTCTTTTGGTACAGTCCAGGTTAATATTCTCCATCTCATTAAGCACACTCTCCATTTCTTCTAAGCGCTTTTGTGATGCATACATGACCATCTTACAATGATACAGGGACCTGCAAGTTCTCCACCTTGCCCATTCCGCACGTTTCACAAAATTTTCAAGTCTGTCCACTTCATTGCATCGGAAGTAACTTGAAATTATAGATCGCATCACACCTGTAGTAGTTACAGAGGTATTGTGCTCAAATGCCTCATCTATTGACTTCTCCATTGCCTCAAACCAATCCTCTTGAGCATAAACCCTAATCAGCAACACATTCAACCAAGGTTTGTATTCATTTTCTGGAATAAGTTTCATTAGCGAGTGAATCTTTTTCACTCTGTCTGTGGCAGAACTCTTGCAATAAGCACATATCATTGCTCTTATCAATGGGATTTCCTTGTCATTCACGTGATGTTTTACCAATTCATATGTCTCCTCCATCTTTACCAAATTACCTGCATGAGCATACCCTCGAAGCATTAGCAAGTGGGTGCTAGTATCAGGACTGACAGGGCCCACCTTCATCTTGTGGAAAGTTTCTTCCATACTATCCCACATCCAAGCTGTAATATATCCAGCAATCAAATTGTTGTATGTGCTTAAATTAGGCGAGAGATTTAAATCATTTAAGCCCTGGAGAGTTGCCTCCATATGATCAACCAGCATCAACCGACCAAAAACGGAAATCAGAATATTGTATGTTACAATAGTAGGACTGCAATCTGGTTCCCTCTTGAGGTCCCGAAACAAAGACTGACATTTAGCAGCAAGACCATTGAACATATAAGCACTCATCAGTGCATTATAAATAGAAGTCGTCTTGATTCGCTTGTTTAAAGCCTCGGTAAATAACTCAACAGCAAGTTCAACATTCTTGGTTTTACCTGCCAATGTAATAGCCTTGGCATACTCCTCTGGCGTCATAGGAGTGCCACCAGCCTCCTGCTTTCTTCTCCAATAAAAAACCTATAACACAAGCAAAACAGATGAAAAGAAAATAGATAATTAAAACCAACATTTCCAATAGGTTTTACCTGAAATTAACATAGGTAAGGCACGGTAAAGATTAGCCATTCCCTACATTTAGTATTCATCTGTCTGTTGTTGTGGGTTTGTGATAATTTTCTACAGACGCAAACACATCTCAAGTAGAACCAAATCAATTCCGTTGTGTTTTGTCTTTTAGATAGTCTTAAAAATTCAGAACAATTCACCATGCATATAGACTTCGAAAGAGCCCTAAGCAGGATAAACCAGGGGTAGAAACTTCTGCTGTGATTAAATTTTACAAAATCTGTTTCCATGTTAGTGCAATAGCAGTGCATATTCTGGACAAAGAACTGAAAATGAGATATGCTATCCGTCAAAAAATCCTAGCATGCCTAAAACCCAAGCAATCTTTTTGAAAAGCAATTGGACCCACATAGAGACACAATTACCAAATGCACAATGGCATTTCAGCTGATTCTTATGCTGCATAATTAGTAAAATAAGCAAAAACTTATACTAAATGCACATCAAACAAACCACTGGGATTACATATATCATATATACCACGCCTAAAACCGAAAAGCTTTGACCTTTTAGTTTGAAGTCTCAAACTTTATGAGGGAAATTACCTCCTCGGCTAAATGGGGCCACGAACGTAACTGGTTCATAAGCTCAACGACAGCGAATCCATTCCCATATCTCGAAAAGAAAGAAGAGCCCTTCTCTTCCAAAACCCTAACAAACTCGTCAGAGTCCCCAATATTCTGAACCAGTTCGTCCCTCAACTGCGTGACCTTGTGCACCAGATCCTCTCTGGACCTCAGGTCTTGGGGCGAGGGCTTGTCGATGAACAAACCGATGATGCTTGGGAAGGAGGTGGGAGAAGATGAAGATGGAGAGGAAGATGACTGGTTCTGGGCATTGACATCGCGGGTGAATCTGTAATTAGGGGAGTTGGTGTGGGTGAGATTGTAAGGAGGTAGGGTTTTGGTTTTGGAAGAGCATCTGTGGCGGCAGAGAAGCTCTGATTGGGCGGAGTCTGATAGCTTCCAAACTCGCTTCATTGCTTGGTGTTAGTGGTGACCGCTGTGTGCATCTTCTGGGTTTTACCAGGGTTTTTCTCTCTGCCTGTCGATAGACTACCCGGCGGGCGATGTTTGGGATTTGGTTTTACGGTAAAATGTTTCCCCTAAATTAATACAAAGTAACAAATCACATTTTATTTATAAAATAAAAAGGAAGATAGAAGAAAAATAGATTATCATATGCTAATGGCTCACAAAATGCGGGTTGGTACTCGACCCTTTCATAAAAAAAAAAAAAATGGCTCACAAAATGTGGGTTGGTACTCGACCCATCTAGGCAGGCCCAGTATGCGTTGCTTTGGTTGATAAGCCCAAAGCAACCTTCCTATATATAGGGGGGAGGATCAAACCCTCAAACCCATTAAGCCCACAAACTATTAGGTTCGGTTGGGTCACAACACAAACTAGCCTACCTCATTCCTTAACTATGAGGTTGGGGGTTCGATCCCCGCTCATGGGAATGGAGCGCATTTCATGGCCAGCCGTTTACCTAAATTGAAAAAGCTCTCGTCGGCGAAAAGGATTAGTCACTGCTGTCGGCAGTGGATACCCTTGGGTCTCACCTAAAAAACCAAAAGCTTTTGGTTTTTGGTTTTTTTACTAATTTACTACTCGAAAAAAGCTGATTACATGACACATTTGCACATCAAAAGTGAGGAGTCCCTACGCTAGCCACGTCGGCAGCAATTCGTCAGCGGAAGCGAGGCAGTGGCCTACAGTCACTCTTATCAAAGCCGAAGCTGAAGCTGCTTGCTTTACAAATTACAAAGCTTGGCGTTGGCATTAATCAGCAACAGCAAGTCTCAATATTTATTTATTATCCATGTCAACTCTCTTTCTTCACAACAGGTGAGTCTCTCTCTTCTTTGTCACCGACGCCGTTGATTGAATTTCTTTCTTTCATGGACTTTCTTAAATTGTTCTAAACAGATTAGTCTAACTGCTAAATGGTTCGTCAAGAAATTTACCTCTGCACTGGTTATGGCTTAGTATGAAAGAATATAATTCAATTTGCAGATGAGGGTAACGATGTTCTCAAGGTTTACGTTGTTGGGTTGGAAGCTGCTTGTCGTATTTGTAAAATTTCCCAAGAAAGGAAGTAGCTTGAGGTGTGAGCTGATGAAATAGGAACAAGCTTAGCTACTTGGTTGGTTGTCCTTATATTTCTTTTGGTGTTTTTTTTTTTATGGCTTATACTTGTAGGATTGGCGTGATTGGGATGCTTTTTTTTTTAGTGTTTTCAAGGTTCGGCTACGTTGTTAGTCCTTAAAATGTGTTGTGCAAAATCATATTGCTTCTGGGCTTAAACTCAGATACATATCACAGCCGCTGCGGCTGCAGTTTGATGAATTTGATGAGATGGGCTATTCACTGAGCAGATTGACCCTAGAATCTGACCGTTTTGATGAAGTTGGTAGCAGTCAAACATCCGGCAAACCATTGCATAATCTAGAGCATGAAGTGGCCCAACTCACAAAGTTAAGGTCAGCACCCCATGAGCGGCTCACCCAATTTGGACCGGGGAAGCGGGACCTGCCCGTTTCCGTGGTCAAGATGCTGGCTGGTCGAGAAGGTAATTATTCGGGAAGGGGAAGGTTCTCTTCTGCAGATCGTTGTCATGTTCTAAGTAGATATTTGCCAGTGAAAGGTCCTGGGCTTGTCGACCACATGCCTAGCCGAGCATATGTCTCACAGTTTTCAGCAGATGGATCTCTTTTTATTGCTGCGTTTCAGGTAACATGTTTACTGACTGCACTTGAAACTAAATTTGGCAAATTTGGAATAAGATGACCATCCTGACCTCTATTTTACTTTTTGTTGAGTTCATCTGGTTTCTCATAAAACCCAGTGTTTTAAGATAGTTGTGCTGTTTCTTCAGTTCCAAAGCAGAAAAAAAAAATGGACTTAAGATTACATAAATCTCTAATGCCGTGGTTGCTACTTGTTAGTGATGATATAGGCTTGCTTGGTTGCAGGATAGCCAGATTAGAATATACAATGTGGACAGAGGGTGGAAAATACAGAAGAACATTCAAGCAAAAACTATGCGATGGACCGTCACTGATACGTCTCTTTCCCCAGATCAACACCATCTTGTGAGGCTCTGTATATTCAAACTACTACATGGACTTATGAAACACTAAATATATAGAAATTGGAATCAATGAAAAAAAATTCACAACGGCCAGGGGTACACATAGCAATGTCTCTCAATAATTTTATCTTTATTTTGACGTTGTATTCTGATATTTCAGGTTTATGCGAGTATGTCACCTATTGTTTGTATGGTTAATGTGGGATCATCTCAAACAGAGTCTCTTGCAAATGTAGCGGTATGAAGTACAATTGTTTCCAACACTTCAATTTGAATGGGTATTGTTATTGTAATTTTTTTGGGAAGAGCTCATGCATGCATACTGCAAAATAAGAACACATTTGACGCATACCAGCATAGTATATCATCATTATCCTGGGCTAACTTTACTCTCTTAAGTTAGCTTTCCTAGATTTTCTATTTTTCAACATTTGGCTCGTCTTCTCATGCAAGATTCTAATTATTTGAAACTAAAAAAGGAAATGTTTTTTTAGATTGTTGCTGATGTATTCTAAGATCCTAGGCTCATCTGTATTTTTCCCTTACTAGTTCATAGCTCCATAGACTAATTTTCAATATGGTTTAACACCATAGTGGATTGAACATCTAAGATTTTTTACCTAAATTGACCTTAGGTTCCTTCATGCATTCCATATCATACATGAAAAATTGTTTTATGTAATTATTTGAAACTAAAAAAGGAAATGTTTTTTTAGATTGTTGCTGATGTATTCTAAGATCCTGTATTTTTCCCTTACTAGTTCATAGCTCCATAGACTAATTTTCAATATGGTTTAACACCATAGTGGATTGAACATCTAAGGCTTTTTACCTAAATTGACCTTAGGTTCCTTCATGCATTCCATATCATACATGAAAAATTGTTTTATGTAAAAATATTGACTAAGTATGAAAAATGGGTTTTCAAAATAATCATTTTCTCAAGATAATTTTTGGCGGCTTTTATTCCTCACACATCAAATAAGAAAACTTGATTTTATGGGATTTTAGTATGAAGTATATATTGACTTAATGAACCATCATTTTTAGCCTAAATCGTATTTTGCACTAAAATCAAATTTTCATACTTTGATTTGGTTTGGAATTTGATTTTCTAGTATTTTTATTTGAATCCAAATTGGGGTACTTCCTTATTTACATTGTAAACTTAAGTAAATAGAGTAATATAAAAATAAATAAAAGTAAAATGACAAAGATATTTACTTAAATGTTGAAAATGAAAATAAGGTAATAATTTGTACACCGCCACTGATTAGGTTAATATTGAAAATAAGTTAAATATATAGGTTTTATATTTTTTTCTTAAAAAACCACACTGGGCTACAGTGCCCTTGGTGTGGTTCCGCCCTTGCCTAACATTCACAGAATTCTTTTTATTAAAAAAACATTCAGAGAATGATTTCTTATGCAGGAGATCCATGAAGGTTTGGATTTTTCCTCTGGTGATGATGGAGGGTACTCGTTTGGTATTTTCTCCGTAAAATTCTCGACAGATGGACACGAACTTGTTGCTGGAAGTAGTGATGACTCCATATATGTTTATGATCTTGAAGCCAATAAACCCTCCCTTCGAATTTTGGCACACACGGTATAAGCATTTCTGAACGCCTCAATGATTCTATCTTCTTGTTCTTGATTATATTTTACTTATTGTTCTCTAATCCTTGACTCTACCGAGGAAGTGGGGCTGGGTGCCTCAGCCCTTTCAACGACCCACACTAATCAGTCACCAAATGTCTTTTCTTCTTCTTTACCTTCTAGTATTTTCTTGGAGTTTTTTTGTCCTCATATTGAGGAACACTGAAATGTAATGTGGTGACTGCTCTTCGATGGGATCTTAGAGGTCGTAAATTTGATTGGTTTCTTTTGCAGTCTGATGTGAACACCGTATGTTTTGCCGATGAAAGTGGCCATCTTATTTATTCTGGAAGTGATGATACTCTCTGTAAGGTAAAATTGATGTCCACATGCTGGCACTCCATTGAAGTACTTCTAATTTTGAGTTTCCCTTGTACATAAATACATATTGGTAGACGTTATGTGTATTTCACAGAATTCATAATTCAGAATTCTCAAAGTTGTAGTTATAGAGAAGTTTTAAGGAAGTCCTTATTATTTTGACTTACCTGAGATGAATGAGCAAACTCATATAAGGTATAGCTTTGTGTAGGTGTGGGACAGACGTTGTTTTAAAGCTATGGGGAGGCCAGCAGGAGTCTTGACGGGACACCTAGAAGGTATTACATTCATTGACAGCAAGGGAGATGGTCGTTATTTCATTTCAAATGGTAAAGATCAGGCCATTAAACTTTGGGATATCAGGAGAATGACTTCTAAGGCCACCTGGTAGGTTCACATCCTAGCTTCTCATGGTGCTCTTGTAATCGTACATGTATAAGTTTGTCCTTTTTATTTTTATGTGTCCAGTAGTTGATCATGGTCATGAAATTTTATTATCTATCTGTGTGAATCTGTGTGAACGCTATCTTATTAATCCTGTTTTATAAACACCCGAGATGATATTTTTTCACTACTTAAATCAAGATCAGCATGGTTGTGGAAGGGCTAAGTTATATCATTGCGAATTTGTTTGCTGGGTCTGCAGGAAAGTTTGGTCTCTTGCAATTTCCAGTTATGGTTTCCAAAATTAATCACTGTTGCAAGAAAGTAACAATCCTTCAATTTATTCCAGCATTCCAGGGCATAGGAGTTCTGAATGGGATTACAGATGGATGGACTACCCACCCCAGGCAAAAGATATCAAACATCCATCTGATCAATCAATAGCTTCATATAGAGGTCATTCAGTCTTGCGTACGCTTATTCGCTGCTACTTTTCCCCCGCATGTAGGTAAGCACTAATCATAATCTTTTTATTCATACTTCTCTAGAGGTCAAGAAGCTGGTTTCATATCGCCGTTGAGTTTCTTTGTTCAAATGTGCTTGGTGATCTTGAATCTTAACCTACTTTTGCATTAATGCGATAGGTACAATTTTCAATGAGTAATATTCAACAGATTTCTAGTCAACCAAA